TTAGCTTATAACCATCTTCCTTCTTTTGGCAAAGTAGTCTGTAGTAGGCCCCATAGCTCTTGATCAAGAACCCATGCCACAACCTGGGGTTGGGGCACTTTCTCTGGATAGGCAGATGTGCTAGTTTCCATGACTGTTGTTCTAGAACTCCTAATAGAATACAGTGGAAGATCTCACTGGGATCTTCACTTGTGAATCATATCTTCCAGGTCCTAGCTACCAACTTTGCATTTATTTTATGTAGAACATTAGAATTGGCCTCTTTGGAGGATACTAAAAACATTAGGGACTATGGATTTATATCTGAAATCATGGTTAATATTGTCATGAGAGCAATGCATGTATCAAAGTGGAGAGCTTTCTGAAGAAAAGGAACTAGATTTAGTGAAAATCTAAATCTAGTTTTAGTTGTTATCTTGACTTTTTGACGAATTGTTTGTGACTATAGACAAGTCACCTTTTATACTTTGTTCTACTTCACTTAATAAGTATTATAATACCAATGGCACAGATAATCATTAATACACTCCATTGTGAAATAAATGTTAAATTTAGATTACTATGTGGGTAATGTATGAAAATTTTCTGAAAATGTTTAATAGGTAGACTCTGCAAATTTAGAGTTCAGTTACATTTTGTGGGATTAAAACTTTTGTATATACATTTAGAAAAGTAGATTATAAATATGGTTGTGCTTCAGAGTATTTGCAAGATTAGATCCGAGCTGACAGTCCTAGCATTGTGCAGTCTTCCTGTGCTGTTTGCACAGTGCAGCAGATCAGTTACCTCCCTGCTTTCTGAATACTATATGGTTGGGTTGGAGAGAATATTCTGTCTTATTACTGACCCTTTTTTGTCCTCATGTGGCTACAGAGGGTCTAACTATTTTGGGTGTTTCTGTTTGTCAGTAAAGGAAGAAAACTACTCTGAAAAGTATAATTCTGAGTTCAGGAATTGAACCCAGGGGCACTTAACCACTGAGCCACATCCCAAGCTCTTTTTATATTTCACCTTGAGATAAGGTCTTGCTTAGGGCCATGCTAAATTGCTGAAGCTGGCTTTGAACTTGCAATCTTCCTGCCTCAACCTCCCAAGCCACTAGAATTACAGGTATGCGCCACCATGCCCAGCAGTAAACTGCAAATGGTAAAATTGTACTTGACATTGGAGATACAGTTGATCCACTGAAACAGGAAGATCCTAATCAGATTACTGAGATTTGGAGAACCATTATTGCAACACTGGAAAGGGCTTTTTGTTAAGAATAAACAGAAAGGGCTGGGGTTGTAGCTCAGTGGTAGACACATTGTAGGTAATCAATAGATACATAACAGCAGTAGAGCACTCGCCTAGCACATACGAGGCCCTGGGTTCAATCCTCAGCACCAAATAAATAAATAAATAAATAAATAAAGGCATTGTGTCAACTACAACTAAAAAAAAAATACTTAAAAAAAGAATAAATAGAAGTAAGCTTATTGCCCTTTAAATATTCTAATAATTTATAATAAAAATTTACCTGGTTTGTTTGATAAACAAGATAGTCTATTGTGGTGGGTTCAGAAGATGCTGTTCCGCAGTGATTTGCTAAAAGAACATTAGCTGGTTGAAATGTAAGACACACAAGCCAGGTTAATTCTGCACTATTTTTCTTAGCATATTCTCCCAAAGTGGTTACTTGCAAAGAGGCTGAAGATCATTCATCAACCTGACAATTTTAAAATGAAAGTTAAGACATTGAAAGAAGAAGTGTGAAACCAGGGAAACAGAAGAGAGGGCAGTTTATATGTTACACATTTTTAAAATTATTTTTTAACCTTTGTTTTAATTTTTTTATTTATATATGGTACTGAAAATTGAACCCAGTGTCTCACACATGCTAGGCAAGCACTCTACCACTGAGCTATAACCCTAGCCCTGTGGCACATTTTTAATGTAAAGCCCATCTGTATCTTACCCTGGCCCATACCTTGCCTGCTCCTAGCCTGTTTTCCTGTTATTAAAACCTAACTCTTTTGTGCTCAGACTAAGTACATGTATAAATATTTTATTCATGTGTATATACAGCATGCATACCGTATCAAAACTACTCCCCCCACCACACCCCCTGGTATTGGGGATTGGAACCAGAGTACTCAGTACCACTGAGCTATATCCCTGGCCCCCAGCTCGTTTTTATTTTTTATTTTAAGACAATCCCACTAATTTGCTGAAACTGGACTTGAACTTGTGTTCTTCCTGCCTTAGTCTCTCAAACTGCTGAGATTACAGGTATGAACTACCTCACCCAGCTCCAAAACTACTCTTATCAAGATCAGCAGTGACTCTAGTAGCCAAATGCAGTGGTCAACTTGTAGTCCTTGTTTCACTTGACCTAACAGCTTTGTTCCATCTATAGATCTCTCTCTCCTAGAAAGACTTAATCTTGGTCTGTGGATCACTTCTGAAGTTGTAGTGCCCCCTAAGGCCTAGTGCTTAGCTTTTTC